GCCGTCTGTTCGTCGGGGAAGGGCCCCTCGTGTCGGGCCTTGAGAGCTTGGCTCCTGGCTTGCCTGAAGTAATACACCTTAAAAAAGCCTTTTTTGTAGGCCCTAAGTTAGGCTGTTGGGTTTTGTTTTTAAATTCAGAGTCACTAGCTGTTTTATAAAGGGGCTCGGCTTATGAAGTCCACACCTGGCAAATCCTCGTTGTCAGGCGCAATTAATATGCTTAGGTGGCATGTGTGATCCTTAATTTTCAAGTCTTGAAAACATCACACTTCATATGGTAAAAGGGGTTGCAGAAGGGGCACTGAACTCCACGCTTTTAAGCACTGTGCCATCTTTTGAAAAAAATTATTTTGTGCTAAGCACTAAATAAACACTTGAGTAGCCAGATCCTTCTTCCAGAAGGGTCGGCGTTAATCTGCTTTCAGGCTTCTAAATGGATTTAATCATCGCAGCTCTCAAAACGTGGGCTCTCTGGATTTGAGCTACTCTCCCAGTCCTAATTATGTAGCCAGCTCAGAGTTATTTTAGTCCTTCCAAAAGCTATAGTAATCCAAAGCCTGTGTGAAATGACACTGTCCCAATTGGTCTGCTAAGGACTTCTCGCTCTCAGAATATTGTGGTCTGAGGCGGGTCCAGCTTGTGCAGCTTGCACTTTTCTTGTCTATATTTGGTATTGTTACCGGTGTAGCTTCAGTGGTTGTTGAAAGCTAAATCCCAGCTATGTGTTTAATCTTTGGTTTTGATTAAAATTAGCAAATCCTTAGCAAAGAAGAAAAAGCAGCTCATTACAGGAGATTTGGAAAATAAGTATCCTTAAAAAGCAGTTTTCCATTCACTTATCAGTAATTTTTGTGCATTTTACAGTAGGTGACACAGTACACATTTTGTCTCTAGGGCAAACAAACAAATGAGCATAAAAAAAAAAAAACACAACAACTTTTCCTGTGAGCATAACCTAAATGATACAATAATTCTGCAAGTCATGTAGTCCGGCTTTCTGCCCAGAGCAGGTCCCACTTAAAACTAAGTGAGGTTGCTGAGCACCTTTTCCAGTTGGGTGCCAAAAATTTCTGATGATGGGACACTTTTCAGTCTCCCAGTGCAACAGTTTCAGCACATAAACAGCCACAGTGGGAAAATGTTTCCCTGTAGATCCAGCTGCAGTTTCTCCTTGTGTATTTTGTTGGTTTTGTCTCATATTTTAGCTGTACTTCTCTGAGGGGAACCTGTTGCTGTCTTCTGTGTAATAACCCTCTAGATAGTGAAAGACAGCACTTTGATTCCCTCTCCTTCGCCCTTCCCCACCGAGTCCCTCTGCCCCACGCCCTGGTCTAACCAAACCTAGCTCCCTCGGCTTCTCACACACCATGTACTGCAGCCACCAGGCATGGTAGACTGCCTTAGACTTTATCCATTTTGTGTACATCTCTCTTGTCCTGGGATGTCCACAAATGGACAAAGTGCATCTCATGTGGCCTCCCCCCCCGATCAGAGAATGGAGGGGATTTACCATCGCAATTAGCCATGCTCATCACAGCAACAGTATGCTGCTAAGTTTCATACATGCCTGCTTCTTCCAACAGTGTACCATGAGTACTGTAACACTCTTAGTTGATATCACCTGATATCTCACAGTTTTTCCTTTTTTAAGAGTTCTTCTCTGAAATGGACACCTTCCAAGCAGTTGCTCTGGATGCAGCAGTCAATATCACTGATGTGCATAAAGCACAGTTACAGCAAAATTTACACTTTACTAGCTTGGTCCAAAGTATCTCTTACCAGTACAATCCTTTTCATTTTTTTCAGCTGTTGTTCCCAATATATGAATCATGTGTTTTCTGTCTTATCTGGAAATTTAATCTTATTTCCAGACTAGCCAAGGAAAAGAGGGCTGTCTGAGCAAGATTTGCTGATCTGGGGGACTTGTCCCTTTTGTATATGGCAAAATCAGAGCAACAAGTCTTTAGAAGTGTGTGTGTGCATGCACAATTTAAAGGATTTAAAAAAAAATAAATCCATAAATGCTATTTATCTAAGAACTGTTACTGGCAACAAAGCCGATTTGTGGCACCTGATGCCCACTTTAGTAGCCAGACAACCCAGTTGTCTGGCCTAGTTAAGCCCCCAGCGGCCTGTCTGTCTCAAAATCTTTCTTGTAAGATACAGTTTGGAAAAAAATTGTTTTCAGGAGTCTTATCATTTCAGCTGCTAATCTATTTATAACCTCAAGTATTCTTTTTAACTGGTAGTTTTTCTACCCTCTTTTTTGTTGTTGTTAGTTGTTAACCAAAATGCCTGTGCTGATTTTATTTTGGGTGGGGGAGTGGAGGTGTCATTCAGCTTTCAGGAAGGAATTGTCTATTTCAAGTGGTATTATAAACTGGGAAGACAAGCTGGGAAAAGGTTGAATGTAATCTGTGCAATTATAGCAAGTTTCTTTGGTGGAAAATGTTATCAACAGTGATATCTTCCCAGTAGAAATTAATTACACTTAATTTCTTTCTTCTTATATAGAAATGAGCTTTCAGTAGACAAAACTAAGAAGAAGAAAAGAAGGGAACTGACTGAGGAACAGAAGCAAGAAATTAAAGATGCCTTTGAGTTGTTTGATACAGACAAAGATAGAGCAATAAATTATCATGAATTAAAGGTAAGGTTTTTTTGCATTTAAGCAATTTTATAGCAGAAAATATATAGTGAGGTTTTTAAGATGTTGTCTGTGTCTTTAAAGGATGCTCCATGTTCAAGATTTCTTGCTGGGCTAAAGGAGTGACAATATTGGGGGGGGAAATGAAATACTGCATTGGTGTAAGAATGAGCTCTTCTTCCCACACTATGTACTTGACACAGTAACAGAATTGCTGTAACATTCTGCATAACACTGGTCTGAATGCTCCCCCAGGGTTTAGGTTGGACAGATGACCAAGTAGGAAAACCTCTTGAAAAGCTGTTTGTTTCTTTTTAAAGGCAGTATATAATCTGAAGCTTGATGTTGTCAAAATCTACAGGTTTCAGATACTTAGGTAAAAGATATAAATCAGACTTACAGAACTGTTGACTAGAAGCCAGAGCTTACCCACTTGGGTTTTTCAAAAGGGAGCCTATAGATTGTAGAAGTGAGGTATGCTGTTTGCGTACATATGGGAGGCTCAGTAGTTTCCCTTCCCCATGAAGGCTTCTCCTGTTGATAGCTGTTGGCAAATGGAGGTTAGCATGGCCGTCTTTCCTAGTGAGTCCTCCCGTCATTCATTTTTTATGAAATTTTATTCTAATTATACTGCATTAAGAGCAAAAAGCAGCTGTGGAGAGGTCAGTGTTTCTGTGACATATTGGGTGAGATTGTTTTGGAAAGGAATGCCTGATCCAGCCTGCTGGCTCCATGTTCTGGCTCTACCGAGTAACTCACAAAGGGGGAAAAACTAAAAGTCTTATTTTTACTTTAATTGTTGTTACAGGAATGTCTTAGGTGTAGCTACCACGACATACTCCCTTCTCTTTATTTCAGAGTTTGGGTATTTTATCTTTGCTGGAAGTCACAGTGACTGGGGTAGTACTGGGGACTGTTTTGGGACCGGTAATACTCTTTCCAGTTATTGTGTGCTTTGAATCCCCCCCTGTCAGGATTATTTGCAAAGTTGTTTCTTAGCTGTTTAGTTAAATATTGTGCCCCTGAAGATAATACTATGGAAGAAAAGAAATATATAAAGAAAAGAACTATCTCCTCTACAAAACCAGCATACAGCATAGATTTTCAAAGGGCTTCATCCAATAGGATTGTAGTTTTCCACATCTGTTTTAGTGTATGTGCATCAATTTGGAGGAAGTCAAGGTATTGTTTGCTGAGAAATTGCCAGATGGAATGGGAAACTAAACATGTACTCCTAACCTAATGCAAAATAAAAGGTGGGTTGGTTTATATTGTTTACTGGAACAGCAGTGACGTCACTTGTAAGTGGACTTGTAAACCCATGAACACATACACACTGTATGAATAATGAAAAAGTATTAGTTTGAAGAATGGTTTTAAGTTTTATCTTTGAAAAAGGGTCAGTGCTTGAAATGTTTTTGGAGTTGAGGAAAAAAATAAAATCTATTTGTCCTAAGAAGCGTTTGGTCCTGTCTGTAAAATCCCTGAAAAGAAAAAAACATAGTTTTTCACTGTAACTGGATGTTCCATTTGCTAACAGTAGTTTTATGCTATTTTTATATCCAGAGCTTTTTTCCTTTTGTTAATTTTATTTATTATCGTTGCTAAACTGCTGATATGCACCTTCTTTCTTGGGCAAGAAGGTAATTGCTAAAAATAAAAAGAAATCTGTTAAATCTGTATTTTAATCTCATATATGGTTGCATTTCCATTTTATTCCAAAAGGTGGCAATGAGAGCCTTGGGTTTTGATGTGAAAAAAGCTGATGTACTGAAAATACTTAAAGATTATGATCGAGAAGCAACAGGCAAGATCACCTTTGAAGATTTCAATGAAGTTGGTATGTCTTTGATTGTGTATGTTTTAGAGAAATGTAGCCTATAGTACAATTTGGAAGCAGTACTTTGTGTAATTTTTCAGTTATCTAGTACTATTAAGAAATAGAAGTGGGAGATTTCATTTCATATTGTTTTTAATAAAAGTCAGTAGTGGATGAAAAGAAATCTTTGTATTCTAACTACAGAGTTTGATATGTAGAGATGAATGATAGCCACATTATAAAAGGAAATAGAGTATACACAGTCCTAATCTTTTTCAAACTTACACAAAGGAATAATTGCTAACTGAAATTGTAGTTATTCTTGTGTTGTTTATGGATTTTTATAAGATTCTCCTTCCTGCTGTGGAAAAAGTTTGGCATTGAACTTCGTGGGAAGGAGTGTGTACACAGACAAACTGTAAACTGAATGCAGACTTCGTAAATAATAAGAGAAATTGAAGCAGATGTTAAATATTGTACTTCAAGGACTTTCAGCTGTTGATAAAAACAGTGGAATTTCATTAGGCCATTCCTTTCATCTAAAGGTTGTGTGTTGTGCAGTTTGACATACTTTGAGCACGTAGTGATCTGCATTTTTCAAGATTAGAGTTTAAGTTTCTTTGAAGATTTTTTTGGTTGTTACACATAATTTATACTTTTGCATACAATATGTGTTTACTAGAAAAATTAGCTGTGTGGGATTTTTCCATGTATGGCTTTATCTCTCTATTTCATTATTCCAGTCCATGTGTTCAAGGTATTAGGGGGGGGAGCAAGGACGGACAGACACAACAAAACCAATCAATGTGGTACATATGTATTTGCTCTTGGCTATGAATAAGAATCTACTTAATGTGGTAAAAGAGCTATTGATTGAAATGTGGCAAATTTTAACAAATTAACAGGTTAGGATTGGACAAAATGCATTGTTAATGACAGATAATATTTTTGGAGTTGTATTCCAGGTTAGAGCAAATTATAAGTCAGCTAAGAACCAAAAATAAATCCTACAGGGAAATATACGTGATCAGTCCTGATTTAATTAAAAAAAAAAAAGGAAAGTAAGAGTATTGATTTAACAACAATCTTAATATTATAATTGCATTATTATCCTATAATATTATAGTATCAGATATACTGTAATTACTATATAATTCTTTCGTAATTCCTGATGTTCAGTCCTGTCAGTGTTCATTGTTTCTTGGTTCTGTCATGGCTATCAAAATGGGCAGTTAACAAGTGCTGTGAGAAGCTAGCAAAATTTTTGTAGAAAGTACAATATATACTTGGAAGGTGAACAAACCTGTCCCAAAACTTGAATAGGATTTGAGTGCTGCTATGACACAATATGACCTTGACACAGAATTAAACGTGATACTACTTCTAGCAGAAAGATCAGGGAGTTAGAGAAAATAGGTTACAGAAGCTTTAATTGTGAAGAGCTGCTGAATATAGCTAAGCAATTCTTGAGCAATTTTTTTTTCATAATTTGGTGTTATTTATGGTTGTAAATGTAGGAATGACCCATCTGAAATGTGTAAAGATGCAGTTACATTTTGTCTTATTTTGTACAGTCGTGTTGCCTATGGTATTTAAAGACTTAGTGTTTTATGTTCTTCAGCTAACATTGCAGATGTCCTTTTGCCACAAAAGGTAAAATTTTTCAAATAATGCAATACCATCGTGCAGTGTAGTTGTTTTAAATGAAAATATTTAAATTTATTATAAATACAAGGTGTTTATGTACATACATAGATGTCATTACTGTAGTGAGCTTATATGAGCTTGAATCTAACTTTTTGCTGTCAAATGCGCTAAGCCAGAGCAGGCGTTCCATCTGCAGACAGTAGCAGATGTTAAGTGGTTCTCTATGCACAAAAGGGGTTGATGTGTTTTTAATAGCTTGATCAAAGCCATAAATAGCAAGCCCTGTAATACAAGACTAGCAGGTACAAAGATTTGAAGATATTTATAGCTGTTTCCAGAAGTGTCTGAAATAATTACTAAGCAAGTATTTTCTGGGCCAGGTTTGTCTTTTCTGTTACAGAAACTGACAAACAGTTGTGATAAAAGGAATAATAAAGACTAATTAATCCTTACAGAATGAACATCTTATAAAAAGGACACTGCTATGAACCATAACCCCTTAGCTTACGATTTTGGGGTTTTTGTTAGTGTCGTTTTGTATCTAAAAGAGAGGTTCTATGTGAATGTTTTTCATTAATTAGTGTTTTAATTTTCTCTCCAAGTCAAAATTCCATCCTGATCAAAACATATAAAATAAAAAACATTCATGTCTGCATCTGTCAGAGCGGATGTTTTTGCTGAAAGGTAGGTTTGGAACAGAGTAGGCATGTGTATACTTTTAATTCCTATTGAAAAGTGTGTTGAAAGCATGAATGTGTCTAAATTGTCATGTAGCTTTCCGCTGCGAGAGGTTTGCCCCAAAGAGAAACTCAGCTTGAGAAAAGAGAGATGAGAAAGATCAGATAACAGCCAAACGAATATGCACATTGAATTGAAATATATAAAAATGAAAGAATGGGTGAAATTAGAAGTGTGTGTTTGTCATACTGCCTCACTCTGCTAAGGTGATTCTGAGTTTACCCTTCAGAATTTTTTAGTCTAACTTAAGTATGCTTCTTACAGTGACAGACTGGATATTGGACAGAGACCCACAAGAAGAAATACTCAAGGCATTCAAATTGTTTGATGATGATGACTCTGGTAAAATAAGTCTGAGAAACCTGCGCCGGGTTGCTAGAGAATTGGGTGAAAATATGTCTGATGAAGAACTACGGGCTATGATTGAAGAATTTGATAAGGATGGAGATGGAGAAAGTACGTGTTAGCAAACAAAACCCCATACAGCCTAATGTTAATTTTTTCCTCTTTTAAAATATGTTGTTAAAATGTCCTCCTTGGTATCCTTCTGTATAACTTTCAGTCCAAACTTAACAATTTCCATTATTTATAGGCTAAATTGTTTTTGACACCTACTAGTTTGGAAACACATCTTGAAGTCTAAAAATCAAGTTGATTTCTCAAGTTGATTCCCCACTAACTCTTATTCAACGCATGTCTATTAAAAGATTGATGAAGGTGTAGTTGAAGGTGGAAGTAATTGAACTAGCACATGGGAGATACCATGTGTCTACATTATCTTTTTTCTTTCTAAATCAGTAAAAAGATTAAAGTAGTAAGAGAAACTCTTTTGATCACCTAGTCAATATTTCTTAAGTGGTGATGTGTCACTGTTGTGATCTCAGCGTGTTAGTCAGATATGGAGTATTAAGCTAATAAATCATGCTGGATGTACCCTGGGTCTATGCAGGACCAGCTTAGATGGGTCTTTAAGTACTTCTGAACTTAAGAGTGCTGAGGTGCACAGTGTAAAAAATGGCTCAGGGCAATTTACAAGGTCTGTACAGAGTGGACTGCAGATGGGATTTGTTAGCTAGGTAAAGAATGAATTAACAAATACAGTTTGATACTAGGCTTATTAAATCTTCGTGAGCACTGAAACTTTGAGTCTTTTTCATTAACTTGAAAACACCCTTACGTTTACACCAGAAACCTTAATGTCTGAATTTGAGGGACTGCTCACTTGAGAGCATGCATATAAACACTGCATTTTTAACAGTCATCAAAACCTACTTCTGAGTTTTTCTTTCAGGATGGTGACTCATGTCTGAGATTTCACTAGCAGTTCATCAACTTTTCCAGTTACAATAGTATTTCTACTTGTGAGCCACCACATCTGTGGGACTCAAAACTCTTGCTACTAGTCTTGTGGTGTTGTCAGCCTTGTGACAGACACTCCTCCCCTGTACACTCTTTGAGATAAATGTTATTCCACGCTTAGGAATACAATGACTCAATTACTGAAACAACCCCTTTTCTTTCAAGAGGAAGAGCTGGACTTTTTAAGCATGGTCAGTGGTGAGGAAATGCGACCCTTCTGTTCCATTGTAGTGAAAGGTCAGTGATTCAACTGCCAGAAAAGTGCTAATGTTGACGCTGTTTCTACTAAAGTAAATGTTGAGGAAAGTGTGATTTCTTTTCTTTTGGAGCTATTGTTGTCTGATATCTTTCTATGGTCTGAGGCCATGGTTCCTTAATGAATCCATACCGCATAATTCTGCGGTTCTTCCACAGGGATGTCTTCCCACCCCTTTCTTGCACTGGCAGTGTCTGATCTCACATATGAGATGTTTAAGGGAGCTAAGGCAGGAGAAAACTATTCCTTTAGGGGTTTAAGTGTTGCTGTTCTTGTTGCTTAGATCCCTGAACTGTCTCACTGCTTGATCAGATTTTCTTGGAGCTGCATCCAGAGAAAATAGATTTTGTTTTTCCTCTGTTTTGTATCGGATAATTGAAGCAGGTCAGTATTGTGAAAGCTGCAAGTCCTGTTTTCAGGCATCTCTCTGTGTGCAGTGACACACAGGATTGCAGCTGTGAATTCTGGTAGACAATAGCATACCTATTTGCTACTTTTTCAGCAGCTGTGTAGCAGTCAAGGAATGATGCCTGTTTTCTCAATCCATTAGGTTGATTGCTAGTCTAGGCAGATACTTTAATTTTGAGCTTGCTTTGCTTTTCAAAGGAAGAATTGTAAGGACATTGTGTGTAGCTGTAGAGGTGAGTAAGAGTAGAAGTCATCTACAAGCACATTTTGTTCTGGGTCGCTTTCCAGGAGCTGCCAACTGAGGTGTCAGAGTCATATATAGTTTTCTCTCATGTGGCTATTCGGTTGCTGTAAGTTGAATGTAGACCATAAGCTCCTTTCAGGAAGGTTACTGAGTCATAATTATTTAGGGTCATTGCTATGTTTTTGAATTCAAATTGATCAGCTAAGAGTGGGTGGCTCAGTTTCCTCTTATTCATTCATCCATTCATTCTCTTTGTTAGAGCAGTCAAGCACAAGATCAAATGTGGAAGATTGACAGCATAATGTTTGTATATGGTGCTGTTTATCCCTAAGTTTCTGTGTGTTTTCTGTTCTTGAAAGAAAACTGATGCTGTTTCTAGCTTTTTAAGATTCAATCTGAAGCAGTAAATAATCCTGTGAATCACTGTTCCATTTAGCTTCAAACATCTGGGTCATGTAGCAAAATCTTGCTGTCATCTAATTCTCCTTCTTTTCCTGCCAAGAAAAAAATAATCTGAAACTATTAGTTGGTAGCATTTGTAATTGATACTTCAAATATAGGAATAATACCACTTGTGGTTTTACACGCTTCTTACATTTGAGAGATTGTTTTGCTCATAGTGAAATAAGGTCTGTTGTATGATACCCAGGCTACTTGAACCCTTGTGTTTCCAGCGAAACCACTGAGCTGTACTGGTACACAGTACATAAATTTCTGCAGAAGAAAGTATTTTTAAGATATTTCTGTCTGCCTTAAAAATGTAAATAGTCTTATTTTCTTATTCCTGGTCTTAGGAATGACTTCTGTATTGGAGTGTGACTATTTTTAGAAACTCCATACTGTCAGTTCATGTAGTTTTGGTCTTGTATGGATTCATCTGTAGGAAACACGATCCAGTCCTAGGTCTCAGATATTGGCACAGAATTTGGGAGAAAAAAAAACCAAAAACCCTTCACTGAAGTAATATGCTTCTTTAACTCTCCAGAGTCCAAATCAACATTTTCTTCATATTAGCTGTGATACTAGTTCATTCTTTTATGATTACTTATGTCATGGGATTGAGGGAAATATAATGCTAGGAGAGACTGTGATTGCTTCTGATTTCATTGTGCTTAACTTGTGAGCAGATCTTAAGTCTGAAGAGGATTAACTAGGATTACCTGGGTGACTGGGACTTGTAAATACACTTCTCTGCAGTTTGTTTGAATGTTACCAAATTTGTTTGCCTTTATAATACTCTATTTCCACATTGGAGCATTGTTTAACAAAGAAGTTTTAAACCAAAGAATATTTTGGGGAGGACGTTTTTATTTGTGCTGTTACAGTGCTAAAGCTGTGGAAATGCTTTTCAAAGTCATACAAACAACATAGTGCTTATGTGTAGTACAACATCATGTAGCTGTATGATGGACTGATATTTCAGAGTGTGGGGTCCTAAGCTAGACTAAATCTAGTTTCATATTTTTGTGAAATGTGTTGCAACAGGGCAGATTTTGGTTTATTCTTTTCTCCTTTAACATAGTTGAATTTGCTTAATTTTCTTCTAACTGCAAATGTAGCTCTTACTTTGCAGTCCTTTGTTTAAGAATAGCTTGGGCACATTGGCTGGGACAGATGATTGTCAGTGAGAATTCTTCACACGTGTCTGGTCTCTTCCATACCACTGACTTACTGTAATCATTCCTTGCTACAGTAATTAGTTGCAGAGTGAACATGTTCATTGGTTAACTCTTTTACAGTGGCTCTGTTTTAACATATGAGTAAGGTCAATAGCTCAGGTATAAGTGCAGCAAAATAATTAATGACTGCTAATTAATTTATTATTATGTCTTAATTTCTTCAAGTACATTTGTGTAAAATTTCTGTTAATTATAACTGAAGAATGAAAAAAGTTCAGATGGGGAAAAGCTTGTCAAAAGTCCGTTTTCATTCTAGCTAATTTATAGAGTCATTAGTAAATGATCTTAAAATTCATTCAGTGTTTGGCAAGTGTTACAGGTTTTAGAGAGAGAGGTATACCATGATTGGGAGGAAGAGAGAAGTTGGACATAAATGTCTGAATCACGATTCTAAGAATAAACCAAAATTTGATCATAACTGGAGCTGCAGCATTGTTGCTTAAAAGCACTTATTTAATAAAATTTTAACATTAACACATGAACATTTTTATAAATCTTAAAAAATTTTAATAATAAAATACTATGTTTTGCATAGCCATCTTTTTCCATACTTTTCTCAGTGTTTTCTTCCATATTGTTTTACTTCTAGAATATTTTTACTTTCATATAGCAATAATAAGTTGTTATATGTGAGCTAGATTCTGGCTTAAGTATTCCACTTAATTAAACTTACATTCTGACTCTTCCTTTTACATGGAAAAAAAAAAAAGTGCAAAATCTCTGTTGTTCTAGATCCAAAAAGTCCAAACTTCTAAACCCTGATTAGTAATGGGTCAGACACAACGAATACTAACTGGGAAACTTTTAAGTAAAAAGTATAATACAGATATGCCTTATTTTCTTTCTTGAATGTTTGTTGTTTGTCTAACAGTTTTCTCTTTTTCTACAGTCAATCAAGAAGAGTTCATTGCTATTATGACTGGAGATATTTAGCATCAGAGGAAAAGGAATGAACTCAGCACAAAAGGGGGGAATCATTGGCAGCTTCCATTACAATGTTTTGTACTTCCATTCATTTCTGTAGCTGGAGTCGTGCAGAAAATTACTTTCCTCCCAGGACCAAAATAAAGACAGGTTATATGCACTGATAGTTCAGTATTTTGTATCATTAAATACTATCACTAGAACAATTGATATATCATTTTAGAACAAGTAAGTAATGCTGCATTTCAGAATGTTTGAGTACTCATTTGTAAAATAGTTTTGTATAGGATTTCTAAATTGTATCATATTACAAGAACCCTTTGAGGTTGACTTTGTGTTAGCATTAGCTGTGGCCTTAGTTTTGATACATAAGGTTTGACAAACTTCCATTTTAATAAAATGTTCTTTACAATTGCTACTTGAAAGTCTTGTTTTTGTACTTTACTCTGAACTGGACTATAATGTAAAATACTTCAGGGAAAAGTTTTTTTTTTTTTTTTCATTTTATCAGCTTGTACTTCTGCTGTTCTAGATGAACCTTAAATGAGCAAGCATCTGTATCCTTAGATATAAAATCATAGAATGGTTTAGGTTGGAAAGGACCTTGAAGATCATCGAGTTCCAACCCGCCTGTCATAGACAGAGAGACACCTCCCACTAGACCAGGTTGCCCAAGGCCACGTCCAGCCTGACCTTGAACACCTCCAGGGATGAGGTCTCAACTTATAGAACTTATAAACTCTGTATTACCCCTGTGTGATAGCAAAGTGCAGGCAACTATGCATGATGATAAAGTGTATCAAAAATGTGCTTAAATCATCCAGATGTGAGCCAGCAGCTCTCTCTTCTGTGTCTGCAGGTTTGGCTGTAGAGACAACGACAACGGTTTATGATGAGTAGGTGCTCTTTCTGCAGTATCTAAGTAGAAGAAAAGCATCACAGGGAATGAATTTTTAAAGTAGTGGAATAGACTGAGTGTATTTCTAGTTTGCCAAGTGTCTCCCAGAAGAGGTCTTGTGGGTTGATCTTCCAGATTTCCTGCATATTAGTTGTAGTTTCTTCTTTTTAAGTTTTGCTCTCCTTTTATATAAAAAAAATGTAACTTTAAATCTTGGTTAATCTTGTGTTCATCTTTATTGTCAAAAAAGCAGCTGTCTTTTAACTGTCTGTAATCCTGAGGTTATGAACAGGTTTGCACTGCACAAACGGAGCTTGGAATTTATTGGAGACAGAGGTCATCAAAGTTAATAGATATTTTTTTTATTATTATTTTTTGAGTGTGTATTGTAACATTCTTATCTGTGAAACAGTGTGTTGCTCTCTATTAAGCCATCAATACCAGTCCACTCATACGGAAAGTTAAAGCAATTCAAAATGACTAGCAGTGGCTCCATATAACTGATCAGGTAATATAAACACCTCATGTAGGACTGCAGTGGGGTATGTGTCCATCACCTGGGATCTCCGTGCTGGCTCACTATCATTTGGAGAGACATCTTACAATTAGCCTTTGCTAGGAAAGGACACTCTTCCTGTTGAGATATTCTCATTTTGATTTTTTTTTTCTTTTTTCAAAATTAATTGTGGAAATGTAATGGGGAAAAATGGTAGGGATAAAATTAATACGAAATCTGTGGGCGTGAAGGAGTAATTGTTATTTGCCAGGAAATTGCTGTCGTCTTAAGGCTCAGTCTCAAAATGTAAGTAAGAATTCCACTGTGCTATATCAGAGGCAGATTTTATCAGCAGTTTCTTGCTCAAAAACTGAACAGCATGAAATATTTTCAGGTTGAAGACTGGTGTTTATGGGGAGGAATTCTGCCATGTATAGTATGGGCATGCTTTATATAAGTATATTTATTGGGAAAGGGGCAAAATGAGAGTTGAAGGATTCTACCATGCAAGAGAAAATCTTGCTTAGAAGGTCTGGTGGTTGGACTGGATGATCTTGCAGGTCTTTTCCTATCTGGGAGATTCTGTGACTTCTTGCAAGTGGAGTAAAATACTTAAGAATCCAATAGCAAAAAAAAAAACCCTAATTAAAATATAAAGCTTATTTAAAAAAAACCCAAACCCTATTATTAAAAAAACAAAAAAAAAACAAAAAAAAAACCAAAAAAAACAAAACCAAAAACCAACAACCAAACCTAACAGAACTTTTAACAAGTATTTTGCAATCTTAGCAGATTTGTTTGTGAAGTGAATATTTAGGAGAAAAGGTTCAGTGTTTGGGACTGAGCCTATGAACTGCTCTTAACACGTATTTTCCAGGAACAGTGCAATACTGGGCAGTGTTGTCCTGTTCTGCAGTTTCTGGCTTTACTTTTCATTTCTTACATAAAGTATTTCTGGGACATTTTTATTTTCTGCAGACAGTGAAAGTGATAGAGAACTTAAAAGCTCCTTTAGTAGTCATCAAGAAACTTCTTCCCTGAGAATCATACCCTTATTCTAAATATGCCAGTTTTCTAATACTCTGCGGTGACTGTTCAACGACTGTCTTTAACGGGGATGTCACCGTTCCGTTCCTCCGTAGGCGGCTGGTAATTATTTCTTGATAGATGTCGCTTTCTGTTTGTGACTCTTCCATCAGGATGCACTTTGTCTCTTCTGGATTGAGGCCTTATATCTAGTTTTTGCAGTGTACTTGAAAAATCTAACTTTATCCTTGCAGATGTGGCAGCACTTGTTATGGGTTAGATAGTGACAGTGCAATGCTCCGTAAGCACAAGCCGCTGAGCTGGAGAGGTCTTGGAAGTTGCTCAGGCTGTGGGAGTGGCACACAAAAAAAAGAAAAAGGCAATCAGAACAGGAGCATAGTATTTAGTGATACTGTATCAATATTTGGCTTTGCTTTTTCTCTACATTTTGTTGTTCAGGAGGTTTTTGCATTCCAGAACCATGCTTGTTTTGCGCTGCTGAATGGTGAGCTGGTTTAGGTACTGGGGGTGTTGCAAGTTTTGTTGGATTTTCTTGATATTCACCGACTGACAGTAATTGTGGCAGATTTGAGTCCACAGCTTGGTAAGGTCTGAGCTCCGAACTTGCAAATGTCTGCTCAGCCCCAGCATCAACCCTGTATGTTTTGTGGGACTCACACCTCTCCCAGTGCTTTTTGGTAGTTCCCTTGGTATATCATAGGATTCACATTCCCAGTTTTTGTCTTCTCATTCTTTGGTATTGGAGGAGGAAGAGACTAATTTGGTGGTGCATTTAAATCTTCGTCTGTTGCAGAATAGCATCAAGGTTCAACAGCCATCATTCTGTATTTAAAGGCTGCACTGTGAACGTGTGCCTTATTTCTAGACTTGCAAAGGTGGGTTAGTGTTAAAATACTGATGTGGAGTACCTGGGACAAACACTTCTCTGTCGCCTCTGCTACGGAGGGCAACGATCTCTGGTAGAAGGCCAGAAATGGCATCTAAGGGAATGTCATAATCCATTGCACTAAAATTCACGGGCACTTATCTTTAAGAGAGTGCAGTAACAGCAGTTTAACTGTGCCAACTAGTCCATCACTTCCCTAATTATTCCCATGCAACTTTAAGGGAATTGAGAACCTCCAAATGAATAAAAATACCACGTTGGAGTGCACTGTATACCAAATGTTTCTCTGCTGACTTATTTTAGAACAGTCTTTTCAATACTAAGTTTGTCGTGTCAAACATTTTTTGGTTTGTGTTTATTCATGGGAGAGTTTCTGTGACATAGTTAAGTCATCGAAAGTCAGGAAATGCCGCCGTTAAGGTTACATGTGCCTCACGGTGTGGAGGCTCTGCCTGAGTTCAGAAACGCCTCCAAAGCGCTCTGGCGATGTGGCTGTCTCCACCACATTGAGCAGAGCCGTGCTTCACCATGCCCTTGGAGCTCAGCAAAGAGGAAAACCACTGCATCTTGGCCGGCAACGGAGGCCGACGAGGCAGTTTGTGATGGGAGGGATGAGACCCAGCTGGCTCAGAGGAGAAGGGCAGGATGTCCATGCCAAGCTACAGGCCTGCGCAAGAGGAACAGCAGCCCAGAGGAGAGGGCATCTGGATCTGTGTTGATCTCTGCCCCTGGGCTCCCATCAAGTTCATAGCATGGCTCATGGGGACATCTCCACTTCTTGCACCCTGGCTGCTGCTCAGGAAGACACTTAACCTCCTGTGATGCCAGTCTGGAGGTAAGAGTGGTGGTTATGGCAGGAAGCATGACTGTGGAGAAGTCCTTCAACTTTTAAACTTCTCTCCTAAGCAAGTTTTGTGGGCTACATGGAGTTTTGGGAGGTAGCAGCTTGGTAAACTTCCTTAGCAGAGGATTTTAATCACGAATTACACAAGAAGAGAGGATAAGGGCAGTTGCGCTAAATCCAGGTGCCCCGTACATTGCTTGTAGTTGCTCATAACCTCTCATGTAGTTGTTTGGTTTTTTTTTTTTTTTGTCAGCTCTCATCTCCCTGTTTGCATAAGCAACCCTTCCCTTGTTTTTGTCAGACCGGGTCCTGCTATTGAGCAGATAATGGCTGTGTCTGCAGCCTGCCTTGCTGTGCTCAGAACCCTACCTGAAGTGAGGGCTGCATTCTTCTGCGACTCTTCCATGAGGTCAAGAGTTTGTAGAAGGTGGTGGGCTGGCAGGAGCAGAACTTTTGCAGAAGTCATTTTCTGTAGTGCTCTTGCGGCAGGATAATTGCCATGGAAGCCAGTCTGCAGGGATGCTGAGAATGTTTTTGCCCTTGGGTTGTAACAAGAGAAAAATGATTCCGTGGAGGGGAAAAGAGGTTGGTGTTTTGAGCGCTCCTGCCTTCCCTAACGTACACCAAGGGAAAATCTGGACAAATCCGTTTGGACAGTCTTGTTAAGATGTCACACGCATTAACAGAAAATCGGTAGAAACATTATGAACATCTAGAGAATCTGCAAGTTTCTTACTTTTATCATAGCACAAATGGTTCACCCTACTGTAGAACTGTTGCTAAGCAAACTGAACATATTGGCAATTACCAGCACTCAGAAGTGATAGCTCTCAGAATATATAATAAGTGGGAACTTTCCATATGTAGGTCTTTTCAAAAAGACATATGAATGTTTAGCCAGGGGAGGTTGTATTTGCCACTTTTTAGCCCTTACTAATTTGAAAACTACTTCACTTGAAGGGGTTATTTAATGGAATTCCAAAGGAATAAATAAGTAAATTTAAAGGATTCCTTTAAAATATTATTCCTAAAGGAGTAAAGAACGGCCTTAGAAAAGGACTACTTTACTAAGAGATGTCCATTTCCAGCTGGGTAGCTAGACAGCGCTTTAAGATTGCCTAGAATGTTTTGCAGAAATGCTTGTTATAACATCTGGATAAACTTTTGTTGCAGAGCTTAATTATGAATGCATTTTTTTAATTATAATTTCATAAAATGAACTTCTGAAAGGGTCTTTTTTTTT